TGGCTTTTCTTTCTTTTGAAACTAAAACGACCATAACAATATATATCGACTTCTGAACAATATTGCCAAGATGTGATCCTTTATGTAAAAGTAAACTCAAAGGCTGTTCGAAAAATATGTGATTAGTTTTCGAGACATTACTCCTTACTTGTTTCTTTTTATTTCACGTTTTTGTTCATATAGACTCAATATGACAATCATTTTATTATATATCCAATACGTCCTGAATGCTCATTATCATATTCGCGATCATCAGAAACATATATGCTTACGAAAGAAAATCAGTTTTTTTTATTTATGATTCGTTTACGTCGAGCAACTGATGAACATGAACTCGTAAGTTCAATCAGTTTGAAAGTGTAGTTTTTCTATTTGATATTTAGGGAATATTTTTTAACATCTCTCAAACCACTGTTAGCCGGATTATTATTGCATGGACTCGATTTATATATTCAGTCGTTAGTTCAATCTCACTTTGGCCGTCAAAGGAACAGGTGCAACAAAATCTGCCATTTGAAATCAAAAAAAATTATCCATTAGTACGTGTAATCGTGGACTGCACTGAGTTTGAAATTGAACAACCAACTAATCCTCAAGCTCAACAAAACACTTGGTCCACATATAAAAATACAAATACTGCTAAAGGTACGAAAACCTGGGTTTGCTTCATAATGTTGTGTTATTTCTTGTTTCATTTACAGCACTTGTTGGTATTACACCAAATGGAGTAGTATCCTATATTTCACCTCTTTATGGTGGTGCTACATCTGACCGTAGCCTTCTCAATATGATCGGTGCCGGAAGTCTTATAGAATTAATGGAGCCTGGTGATCAAATAATGTCTGATCGTGGTTTTGCTCTTGATCATCAACACTCACATTTAACTCTCATTCATCCACCATTTCTAGAGGGCAAGTCACAACTGTCACCCTCAAAAGTTATCGAAACTCGCATCATTGCTCGACATCGTATTCACGTAGAAAGATGTATGGGAAGAATAAAAAACTATAAATTACTCAATGGTGTTATTCCAATGAAACAAGAAATAACACAACATTATGAAGCAAACCCAGGTTTTCGTACCTTTAGCAGTATTTGTATTTT